CGGGTTGGAGGAACCACTATAAATCACGGCTTGATATTCTCTTCCCTTTCTTTTTATTTTTCTGCACTATATTACTCTTGTTTATTCTGCATAATAACTTATAAATTGCTAGCTGGGATTACAGTATGTTGGGCTTAGTCACGTCATCGTTGGAGTTCCAACAATGATGATGCAATTTCCCCTTTGAGAAATACTGGATCCAAAGTGGGGTACAACAAGTAGAGATTATTTTTTCTCGCATTGTGAATGTAATCTGAAGCAAAAGAGAAGTTGAAGTTGTTTCAAAGATAGTTATTAGCAATTGAGAAATTAACTTCCTTTCTCAAAGAAAGTGAATTGAAATTCCCCTAGCCCCCAACCCCCAACAATAGGTTGTACTAAGAGTATAAAGTTTTCATTGGCTTGCTCAAAAATAGGGAAGAGGAAGATAAGGAGGCAAATCTCTTCTAATGTTGATAAATTTCTTAGCAATCATATCAGCTATAACTTCCATGCATACAACATGATGCTGAGAATGCTTGCATCGTTGGAAGTAAGCTTTTTCTACAAGATAGTGTAATAGTGTTGGGAAACCAAGTAATAGACTTCGTTGTAGGTGATGCAAGCCACTTAGAGAAACTGGTTATGATTACACCATCCATGTGTCATGTATCATATAGAAAGACTATGGGCCTTCATGAGTTACTGCACACAGAGAGTTGCATGGCAATTTGGCTATCACTTAGATGTTCTTCCACCCCCTTTTCTTGGATAGCTTTGATTGGGACCTGGCCATGAGGCCTTACATCGCTAATGTTGCTGCAACCATATAGAGTGAAAACACTATATGTTTACCCACGCTTAGAATTTAGAAAAAAGAACATGGCTAGAGCAAGGGTACTGGCAAAGAGCAAGGATAGGAGGTTGGTGATATTGAGGCTAGAGGTAAATATACTTCTCCATTTTTTGCTTTAAGTTTCAATTCTTCTTTTATTTGAGGTCTTGGCATGGCTAGATATATATAACAAAGATATTTTTGCACTTATGTTATTTGTGCAATTTTGTAGGTGAAGCCAGCCAAGTAATTTCTTCCAATAAACTAACATAAGGCAAAAGAAAGAGTATGGCCAAGCCATCCAATGGTGAAGCAGCCACCCAAGGGTGATGCTCACAAGTCTAGTGCTTCGTTGGCTAGCAAACAAATCAAAGTTAAGGCATCCATGCCTCACGAAGCTAAAATGCCCAAGGAAAATGAAGAGAAGACAAGTGTGTGCATTGATGAGCTTTCCTTGCATAGCCAATATAAACTTTCCATCATTGTTGACCTCACTAAGAATCATCATACGTGAACTATTGTTTGTATGTGTAAGCCCTAGCCTCTAGTGAAGGACTAGACCCCATTCTTATTCTTGGCAATGATAAAGTTTCATCCAAAGCAAAAGAGGCAAAAAATGTAGAGCTCTAGTGAAGAACATGGATGAGGCTCCAACGAAGAACATAGAAAAGCTCTAATAAAGTAAGGAGTTCACTATAAGATCATTGCTAGTGAAGTAGATGAGCCTTCACTACTTGACAACATAGTGGGCTTGATTGATGATATCTTTGATTGGAATGATTTTGCATCTTTTGCAACTAAAGTGCAACAAAAAAGAACAAAGGCAAGTGCAACTTCTCCATGGAACTCCATCATGGTAAATCAAATACACTTTGCAAGCAACTTTCATGATATAAGGGTCATGGCTAGGAGATATTAATTCATGCACTTTTACTGACCTCAAGACTTTTGCTTTTGTATGGATATAGACAAGAGGAGGTGCAAAAAAAAAGCACAAATTGTTAAACGATCAGCCAGCCAAGATAGCAACAATGGTATGCACACTTTTGTTCTCTAACAGCCATGAAGCATTTTCACCATTGTTAGAGCTATCACATTTTCTACTTAGCCATCTTTTATGATAATAAAGCAAGCCGAAAGAATCTCAACGCCAAAGAAGTTTTTAACTTTTCTTCTCAAAAAATAAGATCTTTGTTGAATAGTTGGCTCTTGCTTGCTTTGCGAGATGTTGAGGATGATAAGGCTAGGATTCAAGTAACTGCCAGCAAAGATGAAGGTAAGAAGGCTGCTAAAGAGGCTAACTCAAAGTCCAGCGAAGACAGTAATGTGAAATCCACCAAGAGTGATGAAGCATCAAGAGGTAACCATAAGTCAAACCATGAGAGTAATGATGAAGATGATGGCATAATAAGCTATGCTAAAGAAAGGCGTGCCATAGTTAGCTGTAGCTCCAAAACTCCATTCCCAATGAAGATGAGATAAATGTTGATAAACCAGCCAAAAGCATATCGAAGAATGCCGTTAGCTCTGGAAATCACGTTGAAGGACAAGTCTTCCTTTGTTCTAGCCAAGTTGAGTGATATAGACAACATGCGCAGCAAGGCTAAGAAAGTAATGATTGAAAATGCCTTCATAAATCTTTGTGTAGCTATGAGGCACATAGAAGTAACTTCCTTTGTTGAGATGGATGAGGAATTCTTTCATTTGTGTAAGGATACCAAAGATGATGCCAAGAACATAAACTTTGAAGTTGGAGCCACTTGGGCTTGTGAAGGCAAACCTAATGAAGGTAAGTTTGACATGGCTAAGAGTGGCATGGTTAGCAACTGGGATGAGCAGATTGACAAGTAGGCGAAGCGTGTTGAAAAATGTGCAGAAATCCTTGGCTGATACACAAGAGCTGATACTTAAGTTGGAGGCAACATTGGAATAAGTTGAGGCACATTTGAAATTACTCAACCAAGAGAAGAAGTGCCTAGGTTCCAGCGAAGTTGTCCACTGAAGTCGCCCAGCGAAGTCATTTACTTTGTTAGAATTATGTTGAAATGGCTCATAATTATAGTGATGAGCCTGGTTTATTTGTTCCATGAGTAGCCATATTCTTCAGCCCCCAGTTCTATAAACAATTCATAGTTATTATTTTTTATTAATTGTCAATATCGATGTTGCTACTCATGCTGTGATGGAACCCTTTATTATCCATGCTTGTTTTTGGGTTGAACATCTTTATGTCCAACAAAGTCTGGCCTTCCATGCTTAAACATTTGCCATTTTATGAATAAGTTGGCAGAAGATTGCTAGGGTTTATTCTCTTAGTTGGGATAGACCACAATGCTGAAGGTGGAATTGCATAGCAAGAAATGTGTGATTGAGCAAAAGTAAAGTCGCAAGTAATGTGTTAATTTATGAAATAAAACATTGCCAAGCTTGCAGCCTTGCAAAAGGAATATAGCTTCCTCCCATTTTGTGAAATGCACAGTGGCCACCTATATCCATGTATAATCCTCCAAAGTAGAATAGATAGGGCCAACAAGAGCAAGTGTAAGAATACCGCCAGCAAGAAATACTAGCCATAGAAAAACACTCCATTAGCAAGTCGAAGGTGACATAAATGTTGACCATACGAGCGGAATCACCATCACATAATAAGTCTATCATGACACAAATGTTGCCTAAGAGATGATCAAGCGACATCGCTAGTAGGTCTTGATGTGACACAAATACTAGTCATGAGAGATAAAAATGCTACCAACAAACCAAGGATGGATGAAATATTGGCCATGAAAAATAACATTGTAAACAGGCCCTAAAGATGCATCGCTAGTAAACCATGAAAAGGCATCAATATTGGTCATAAAAGGTAACATCGCCAACAAGCCTTAGAAATGCAACAATATTGGCCAAGAAAGATAATACTGCCAGCAAACTTTGAAGATGCATCACTAGCATACCTTGAAGAGGCATCAATACTGGCCATAAAAGGTAACAATGCTAGCAAGCCTACGAGATGCAGCAATATTGGCCAAGAAAGATAATACTACTAGCGGTCCTTGCAAAGGCAAGAATTTTGGGCATGAAAGATGATATCACCAGCAAGTCATGTAGAGGCACAAATATTGGTCATGAAAGATGACACTGCAAATAAGATTTGCAAAGGTACGAATACTGGCCATAAAAGACAATACCGCTAGCAGACCACAAGGCACTAATGTTGGCCAAGAAAGATAACATTGCCAACAAGCCTTAAAGAGGTACAAATACTGGCCATGAAAGATAATACCACCAATAGGCCTAAAAAATGTACTAATAATGGCTATGTAAGAGAAGTAACATCTTCGACAAGTTGGCGATGATGTGACTCAAGTGCTAGCAATGCATTTGATGTATAAGTGTTGATGGATGTTTTTGTAAAAGGTTAAACTTGGACTCGAGTAGTTTCCACATGACGAAGACCCGTCGTGCTCTAAGCAGCTATGAATGCCTTCAACGTGCATTTATCAAAAAGCCTAGCAATATCTAATGTTGTAATACATGGCTAGGCCCAACGGCATCTAACACTGTAGTACATGGCTACATTGTCAAAAATACATAAGGAAG